TGCATACTTTATTTGGAAATTTTTTACTATATGCATTAAATGCTTGCATATTTACATTTATTATCCAGATATGATCTTAAAGATTTTTTCCTTAAATAATTTATGCAATGACTTTACTGATATCCATTATAATTAATATTTGTCGAGTAATATTTTTTAACCTTTATTTAATTATATAAAACTAATATTTTTTTAAAAAAATTATATTATTTATCATTTAAAAGATAACGATCGCATCATTAAATGATTTTATTGATGGTTAGATAATAAAATTATATTAGTTATTCTTTAAAATTTTTACTACAATAAAAACAGGCTTAAGAAAAAAAAATTCCATAACATCCAATAAGCCAAAAAAAAAAGTACGTAAAATCTTTACTAAAATAAAATAAACTTTATTTATTTGTCTTATTCCATAATAACATCGATTTAGTCAAAACAAATCCCATAATCGGTGAAGTCAAAAAATGTACGTAAAGCCTATTTATACTAAAAAAAACAGATTCAAAATTCCTTATCTAATTTCTGTTTAAAGCATTTTATTTAATATTTATTTATATGAAATATTGGATAGGATTGCTGAATCTGGGTCAATTTTGAAATCGCGTTGTTTGGTATGAGAGGATTATCTGCATCCTATATCTGTCTAAAGCATATTATTTTATATTATTTAATTAATTTATTTAATATTAAATTTTTTTATCCATGATATCAGTTTTGTCAAAAAATTGAACAAACAAACAAATAGAAAAGAAACGGGATTAATTACCTTCGACTTGTAAAAAATTTATGGGTGGACGTAAATATTTAACAATGCTGTTTCAAGTTCCTTAAATAATACTATAACTTTGATGTTGAAATATAATCTGTTTTACGAGTGACGTAAATATGCTGTTTAAAGTTCCCTAAAATATTTTTTTTTTAAAAATTATGCTGTTTAAAGTACCCTAAAATAATTTTTTTAAAAAAATTATGCTGTTTAAAGTTCCTTAATTTTCCTGCGTACTATAATATATGATTTTTTTTATGAGGTCTTTAATAATATATGATTTTTTTGTCAGATACTATTTTATTGTATAATTTTCCTGCGTACTATAAAACTTTTATTGAATATTACATTTTATAATATAATATTCCCTAAATAAATATATTCCGTGTCTCGCACCGGTCCCGTACTATATATATCCCGTATATTTTTTTATTCATTTATATAATTATAAGGCTGGATAAATAACCTTAAAATTGTACACCCCGTGCATCGCACAGGCTCTGTACTAGTTTACTAATTAAGAGAATTACTATGCAAAATAATCACAAATCAAATATTGTATCCTTAACAAATTTGTAAATTTGACTCGGATAGGAAAAAATTTGGGAAGACCAAATGAATGTGAAAAATTAGCAAGAAATAAAGAAATGCGCAAAACCATCTCCAAAAAAGATTATTCAAGGTGGATTTTTAGTAACCATACATTTTGATTCATAGATTTTTTTTTTATTTTTTTTTCGAAACTATAGAAATTTTATAAAAAGTAATTACAGCTAGAACACAGCTAGAATAGCCAAGCAGCCGGACAATTGAATCTAGGAGGCCTACACGGAGGTAGCCTAGTAACAACTACACTAACACACACACAACATAACAAACTATACAACTCCGAACAGAAGAATAAACAAGCTCCCAACAGGAGAATAACAGACTCCCAACAGGAGAAAAAAGAACACAACTAAACGACCACATAGCTCTCAAAGGGGAGAAAACACAACCCAAAACACAACTAGAAAACACAAAACAACAACAAACACACAAAACAACACAACTAAGCTACACAAAAAAGCAACACCAGATCCTTCCCCAGAAGACACGCCAAGCCCAACACAAGCACCGAAGAAGCAAGGTCGACCACCCGACAGAGTAGCCTGAAATCCAAGAACCGGCTCTCAAAACTGCCTAACGCCTAGCTGAACACCGACCTACTCCAGGAAGACGAAGCCCAACCCACAACCGGAAGAGCAGCAACCTGCACTACCACACACCACCACCGCCCCGGACCCGACCAACACCACTGGCCAAAGTCCGGCAGTGACAACCTCTCATTCTCCCCACACCAGGGCGCACGGAAACAGGGGACAACACAAACAACTCCTCAGCCCCTTCCGACATGTAACGGACAAACGAGTGGCAAGGGCCACACCCACACCCCAACCCCGCACCACCACCCGACACAACCTCGAGACCATGATGGTCGACAAACCGCGACCTCGATCGGCAACCAGAGGCTGACGACACCCGACCCACGAACGGTCATCGTCCCACCCTGGCACAAGGTGAGAGGGGGTGCACGAAATTAGAGCAAGAGTCGTGCGGCTATGGGCCATCCGCCGGCAAAAAGCCCCGCGACCTGTTGGGGAAGATAGACGAGATGAATTGAGGCGAGCTAGGTCTTTCCTGTTGAAATTGGGGAAATCTGCCGAGAGGGAAGTTTACATAAGCTCTGTTTCCAAATGCCATTTTCAAAGCCTTAACTGAAATTTATTTTATCATTTTAAACATTGTTTATTTGTTAAAAAAAAAGGGGGGA